AGAGGTACATGTATGCTTTGCATGATTTAATTGAATGTTTTAGTGATTAAATTTTTAAATTTAAAGAATTTATGGAATTCACGTGCATATAATAAAAAATGATAATACTTAGGTGTTGTTTGTCCCATATTTATAAATTATTTATAAACACTCTAAAGCTTTTTATTTTCATATATCAAGAGACCTATAAATATTATTTATTTATCTACCACTTATTTTTTATTTATTTATAATTCGTTTACCACTTCTCAAAACATGCTTTTAATAATATGAAACATGACGTTATTTTTACTTTAAGATGTGATGATTATCAAAATAACATGAAATAGTTCTACGTTTGTATTTTCTGTTTACTAAGCCATTGTTTGGAGGATATTAAAATTAGATTTTTAGTAAATGTTGATAAATGATGATAAAATTTGTTATCGAAAAGTTATGAATCTCATTAAGTATATGGTTAAAATTTTATTATTGATTTTGACTTAAATTAAAATTCGAATTTTAATCATTACGAAACAGGGCTAAATATATTTTTCATATTCACGATAATACATCTTCACACAATATCATATATTAATACAAATCTAAACCAACCTAGTTAATTTTAACAATTTATTTATATTAAAAAATTATAATAAATACAAAGGATGTTAAGGTTAATTTTTGTATCACCTTATACATTTCAATGACATTAGACTTTATATATAATATGGCCTTTCTCACATAACTAAATGTACGCTGATGATATGAAATACAAGTATATCGTGGCACACGAAATCAGCAACTCAGATATACGAAGAAAATTGTGAGTAGGCACATCATTGCACAAAGTTAGGCACATCATGGATATGAAGGTAGCAACTAAGGTGTAGGAGCTTGAAAGGCACCTGTAAGACATATTATCTAATGCATGTTAGATACCCATTAATTTATTTTATGGTTTGTTATAGAATCATTTTCAATCATACATTTACAAAATGAAATATTTTATATTTAAATTCAAAATCTTTTTCTACTTTTTCACCACACATTCTTTTAAATGTACTATTCAAAACTTATTTTTTCCCAATTAATGAGAATCAACCAGACTCTACTAAATTAAGATACAATAACCAAACCCCTTCACTCGTGATTGCAGGTGAACCCAGTATTCCACCTCTGCAATGAATTTGGATCACATTCGTTAAGGGATCAGGGAAAGCAATTACGCTCCCGTTTAGTTCACATTCTCCTTCTCGTTCTTTTTTTCTCTTTTATTTTTAATCTTACAATCTTTCATAAAATAATATTACACGTAAATAAAAAAAATCATTCTTTTTCAATCGTACATTTAAAAAAAAAACCAAAAAAAAAACACTATTCTAAACATTGGGGGGCCAAACGAAGAATAAATAAGAGAATAAGAGACATAGAAGCAACTAGTAGAAATTGTCTGGGTGGTGTAGTTGGTTATCACGCTAGTCTCACACACTAGAGGTCCCCGGTTCGAACCCGGGCTCAGACATAATATGTTATTAATATTTTTCTTTTCTTTTCGATTTTTTTAGCATCAAGCGCATCGCAATTTTTATTTTTCTCCAACCTTTATTACATTTGCCTGCCAAATCCTATGAAATCAAATACTAATTCGAGATTTCCTTTCTTGCTCCTTTTTCGTGTTTAATTTGTGGTGTTTTATCCTTATATTTCTTCACCTAGGGTTTCGCGGAGTTAAATAGCTTGTCGATCAAAGCATTACTTAATTAATAAAATGGATTGGAGCAACGTCACTGCAGAGGATCTAATGGAGGCACTTCGCGAAGTGGATTGGTCATCCCCGCCTCGGCCTCTCTCTGAATTTTTCTCCCGATTCGCTGTCCCCAATTCCTACTCCAAATGGAACAGTCGCCTCAAGTGTAATCTCTACTAGTACGATCCTCAGTTATATATCTCTACACGTTGTGTGTGTGTGAGAGAGAGAGGGAGGGAGAGATTTGTGTGTGTGTGCGTGTGTTTTTTTTTTTTTTTTAATTACTAGCTTCATGCTTTCTGTGATTATCGAGTGGTTGAATCTGTACTACTTATGTTAAATTTATTAAATAGGAAGAGAAAAAAAAAAGAAACATATTTTGTAGGACGTTTAGATTTGTGCGGTATGTTTAATTCGTGGAGCGTTAAGCTTGGTGCCTAGTATATTCGTTTGTTTTTTCACAGCAAGAAAAGGAATAAAGTTGTGCAGCTGTTGATTTGGAATTCTACATACTTACATTTAGTAATATATTTTGCGGTGTCTTGCAGCTATCGAACCAATTACTTCATAATGTTTGCGTTTATTCTTGGTAAGGGAGCTCAATATGATGTTCAGTACTCATTTGGTTTTATGTATTAGCACATGGATACTAATAGATATAAGCATGTGCATTTTTCAATTCAGGGTTGGGATTTTTCAGGAGGCCACTAGCTGTTGTAGCTGCCCTATTAACAGCTCTCAGCATTGCTTTTCTGAATGATAGGTATTCACTTCTGCTCATGTGATGCTTTTGAATCAAATCCACAAGTATAATCATTAGTAGCTATAATCTTAGCCTATGTTTGTAAACTATTTTTAAATGCTCAAGTTACTCTTTATCCGCACATTTCAAGGGACCTAAAGTGCTCTCCATTTATCACCAGTCATTTTTATCCATTTATAATTTGAACTGTTTATGAACACTTCCAAGTTCTTACTATTAGAATTTTGTGATTTAGATGTTCATTTGTCATAGTTGGCCAATTTTTTGTTGCTTCCAAGATTTTAATAATATAACAATATAGTTATGTAAACTGGAGATAGATTGATTTGTAAGAACAATGCTCAGTTTAATCTTCTAGTGCAAGCAGTTTGTATCATTAGTAATTTATAATCATCTCACTATGTTGGAGACAGTTATTTTATTGTTTTGAGTGAACTGTACGACCTATTAATCTCTGATTACAGGGATAGTTGAAGATTTAGAAGTAGCTTAATAATTTGTATTGAAATGTTAGGACAAGGCAAGTAAATATTTCTTAGAGCTAGAAAATTAACTACTGCAGGTTTGATTGTACTTTTAGCCCCCGTTTGATCCCCATTAAATTCAATTACATTACATTCCATTCCATTTTTCTCTTTCCTATTTTCAACCACACAATCTTCCATAAAATAATATTACACGTAAATCGAAATTTTTTTCTTCTTTTTCAACCACTCATTTTTCTAAAAAATACTATTCCCCCTATTTTCATTTTTAGGTAATGGGGATCAAGCGGGGGCTTAATAATCTTTATGTGGAATCATGATATCCTTTGTGCATTTACTGGCTTTATATTTGATAAGGAGCATTAATTGATGCTTGCTATCCGCATCATGTATTTCCAGTTTCTCCATCTAGAACCATATATTGACAACTGCATTCTATGGAACAAAGTTTGGCTAACATTGAAATACATGTTCTACAGTTCAGTTATTTGGAAGAATAACTTTAGATTCTCTAGAAAGTGAAATGTGATAAAGATTTGATTACTACGTAAATCACAAATGAACAATTTATTTATTATTATTATTTTTTTGAATTGTTAGTATTTGACCAAGAAATCTGATATTCTGAATCGAGTTCAGACTTGTCCCTAAGACCGTGGCACCTGAAGTAGATCCAATTCTCTTTTCATCTATTGATTTCTGTGAATTAAGGAAGCAGACTTTTAGTCAAAAACATAAAGATCAGGTTAATCCCAGTCGCTAATTATATAACAAGGGCTAGGATGAGCTGTTAGCCAGAAACATTATTTGATTTTAACCTTATAAATTTCTAGTGACGATGAAAGATTATAGGTTTTTGAGTAGATGGTTAGGATTTACAGCATGATGGCTAAATTTAATAAGTTTACTTATAAGTAAATAAGGAAGGTTTGAAATAATTAACATTTTACTTGTCACAGCAAGTTACTTTTTTGAAACTGATCTAAGAGTTATTTGGTAACTTTTCTTCAGTATTTTTTTAAAAAGTGACATATCTGCACGTGTTCTTATACAAAAATTTACTTAGAGGTAACTCCCTTTCCCTTGTCATAACATGTCGGCAGGGCTATTAATGGAAAATAAAAATTGGTCACATTGATAGAAAAAGAGTAATTTTGTGGATTTGATATGTTGCCAATAGAGATTTAATTAAATTATTCAGCCCTGCTACTGAGCCAGGCTCAGTAACAGGCTCAAAAACAGGGGATTTCACTTACTTTTTTTTTTCTTTCCAGATCTAAGGTCCGAGGTGTTGCCACCTCGGCTTCCTATTTTTGAGCCTGGTTTTGCACCTGGCTGAGTAGCATTTTTCTAAATTATTAACTTCACTCTTTGGTTGGATTATGTAAAATGTTGATCATCCATCTGCATATTAGTCGAATGCAAAAACCAAACATAAATCCTAGTGTGCTACATAAGGATTGTATATTATGAAAATTTCTGCTATTGTAAAGGTTTTATCGGCCTTGTGTTTCTTTGTTTCTCTTTTAATTTCATATGTTGTGATGGAGATTTGAGGTGGATTCAAGGGCATGAGTTTGTAACACGTGGCTGGGTAAAATCATAGGCTCACAGTCAGACACTCTTGTTATTTAAAACATATTCTTGTTTCTGCATGTTATATTTTCGGAAAAGGTTGGAAATTCTACTGCAAACATTTTTTTCTCAATCTGTTTCAGTGCCTTTTCCTTTATCCATAAACAAAGCTGGCTCTGTTTGATGCTTTTTTCCGGAGTTCTGAGTAATTATTTCTTCATTAACCCTTCTCCATATTGCTAAGATCTGTCCGTACAGCTTTGCAGGTACTTTCAGTGAAAAGGTGACAAGAACAGTCAGGCAGTTTTCTCCACATTTAGCTGCAAAAATGAGACCTCCCCATACGTAAGTACAATTGTAACTCTGGAATTACTAACTATTTCATCCTGCTTCTTGCTAGAATTTCTGATATATGGCTGATATATTCTAGGCCCGTTATTCGGGGGCGTCCATCTGCCAAAAGAGCAATACATATATGTGGACAGCCTCGATGGGTATTTTTCTCGATATTGGCAACAGGTATTGGGATACTCTACTATGGTTTCTTTCTCCTGTATGACTTAAATGTTTGTAATTCCTATTGTAAGCAATTGTTTTCCTATTTGTTTTTTCTCCAGTGAGTTTCATCCTTTGGTTTCTCTCTTGTGGCCTTATTACTTTCTTATTGGCATTTGTTGTTGGCCTTCTTGGTAATGTCATACTTCCTATTATAATTTTTTTTTGCTTCTATTTGTATATTCTTTTATAACTTCCATTTCTCTCTCTCTTTCTCTCTCAGTCACCCTTCTTCATGCAAGCTTGAGAACACCTAACCTGAAAGCTCGTTTGAACACATTCCGTGAGGAGTTCCGTGCTGTTTGGCGAAATCATAGTGAGCTGTAGCTGATGGGAAATAAAATACATGTTAGCAGTTTTGACTTGAACTTTACCTTTATGTTGATTTCATTAATCCTACTATGTTTCAATGTCCACATAGTTTCTGTGTGACCTGTGTCTTTCAATAGCTTTCTGCATTTCCATGTTTAAGCTGCCTTGTTTAATGGGATGGGATGTTTAACTAACAACTGAGGTGGTACCGGTCTAATCTAAGTTAGTTGTGCTCTAAGGTGCCAGACAGTATTCGAGGTGCTAGTTCCCAGGAGGCTATTGATACGGTAGCTCACATAGGTTGCTTCATTCTTGTGAAGGAAAGATGGACGTAGTTGTCTTTGGTTCCTGAAAACCTTGAGCCTTTAATGTCAGCATCAATCATTTTATTTCCGGATTAAAGGTTTCATGGTGTAAGATCAAAAGGTGAGAGGCATTGAAGAAGTAGAAGAGAAAAGAAAAAGTTGGAGAAGAAGAAGATATAATATCTAAACCTGTTTAAAAGTCTTCTTGATACGTGCACCACACTGAACTTTCTCACCCCCAAAAAAGACAATGAAATCATAATGAGAGTCCTCGCTCATAAGAATATTGAATGGAGAGGAATGTGAAATTTGACTAGGTGTTTTTTAACTTAACCATATACAGTTTAACTTTCTACCCAGAAATTCCTCAAGTTGGTTATCCTTTTAAGTATGATTCCGTTTTTTTCCCTTCTCAAAAAAAAGATCAACGATTATCTTTTACGGTTATCACTTCCCACTGTTAGTGGAATTAAATATTTTTCACTTTTAATGTGCAGAAAATGTATAAGTGAGGATTATTTGAGGGTCATTCATTGTTGTAGCTTGGAATGAGGCTATTGCCTTTATTTATTTATTATTATTTTGGTTACCATATGTTGGCATCCACTTGATTTCTTACTAGGAAATTTTATTTCTTTCTTAAATTCAGCAAACATGTACTCTACATTTTTATAATAACAAAATTGATGATTTTTATTTGTCGTATTATTCTCTCTTTAGAAAAATATAGCTAAATTTCTATTGATCTGTTGGTATTAGAACATAGTAAATCATGTTCGCCATAGGAACATAGAATGAAGTATCTGATTGTTTGGTATATTGTCTATCGTCTTGTTTATAATCCTGTTATTTGGATTTTACGGTGATTTCTGCTGCCTCTGCCTCTCCATGTAGGGACCTCATATCAGCCATCAAGATAATGCATCATACTCTTCTGAGAGTGCTTTCTATTGATGGCGTTGCATGATAACTTTCTTCATCCCAGCTGCCAAGTTTTAAGAAAGAGGCTGCTTGTGTATGCTACTATGGGGTTGTAAATTTCTGGAATTCTTGTTACAGGTAAATAGACTGTATCGTTTGTTAATGCTTTTAAGAAATCCTATGAGATTCATGTGCACTCCATTGCTGAAAGATTTCCTAGAATGATGAATTGAAATCTGTCCTTAGTGCGCTTTACGAGATCATGTTAATTTTCACAAGGATGGTGATTTATAATTCTAGCAAAAATGTGAGTGCTATACATATCCATGTGGTGTGTTTTCCTCCTTTACTCTGAACGGCAAGCACTTTTACAACCAAAATATGAATGACTATCTCTGGCCAAGCATTACATTTCGAATTGCTCCACTTGTGTGCTCCTTGGATGGTTTACAATCATGAATGCAGGTGCAGATGTGTAATGACCTGAGCATCTGTGTATAAGCTATTATATTATACGTACTATTTGCTTCAAGAGAACACCTATCTATCTTACCTCGCATGGTTTTGTATTGTGTCTCCATGATTCAAATGTAAAACCTCTACTTTATGAGGGATTTAAGTTGTATTTTATTACCAATTGATAGGCCAGGGTCGTTACAAGTTGCTTTGGTTGCCTTCATTTGGAGTCTTCAGACAAGTTTAATATCATCTGCTTAACATGAACTCATGCTTTGGAAAATTTAGTCTCATCGCCGGATTAGATGGAGTGATTTGGGTTCTCCCAAATTAGCAGATTCGTAGTTGAGAAAAATGATGACATATAACTAACGATGAGAATATGAAAACATATTTTAATCGGTTGGGTGTTCCGATTTTACATCTGTTTTTTTCTCGCATATTATTTGCAAAAATGTGCAGGGAAAGAAATCACAGCCTGAAGGGAATTCTTTCAAGGGAAAAAATCGCGAATGGGAAAAAGTTAATAATATATTCAACCCATAAGCTTGTTTATGTATGTGTAAACATTGGGAGAGGCGTAGGCAGTTTATATGAGTTTGATGGGATTCAGATTCGTACCATCAGCAATACGTTCAGAATTTCAAATTCAAGAATAGCAACTAAATGCAAGGATTGCACTCATAACATGACTTAATCCAACACTTTATGGCACGAGCTGATAACAGAAAAGTAATTTGTAAAAAAGCTCAACGGCAAAAAGAGTTACTTAAGCTATGCATACAAACACATTTTTGTCCTGAAATGGAAAAGCAGCATTAGCAATACAAAGAAGTTTAATTTGGCCACATGGGCCAAGTGTCCTCTAGTTTACGATCATTGTCGTCTTGACTGCAAATCTTCAGAATTAGACAACAAAAACGACCTGAATTAAAATTACACTCCTCTTTCATAATCACAGGCAAGACTGTCTCAAACTTGTACTCAATTGGAGTTAAAAAAGGAAAATTAGGATAACCAGAGCTCTGAAAGAGGTTTCCCTTTTACGCATGCCTCCACACAGTTCAGTACAGTTTCTCTCACCTGTTTCTCAACATCTTCAATTGGAAGCGTGGCATCTATAATCTACAATGAGGACAACAAAGAAAGGTTAACGGTAGAGGAGCAATGGTGTCTGATCACATAAGCTTATTAGAGTCGGCTTATGAAAAGGCAGATATTGACATTTTGTTCTACGGCAAGGAAAATAACAGCAAGACAAATCATAAATTTTTAATATACCACCACTTCAAGATTTGATACGTGACATGATATGCCACACACTAATATGTTGCCAATCTGAAACTGGAAGTTGGTGTCAAAGGAAATGTACTGAACCCCAACAGGGGAGTGAGGCAAACCCAAAGATTGATCACCGGGTTATTAGACTTCTAACACACGTGTTCGTATAATCTAAACTTCTACTTTTTAAAGTTTCGTACTTCTTCAAACACGATCTGCAGCGTGTTGAATGTATAAAAGTATCAGAAAGGGCTAAAATTCATTACCTTCCATGAGGCATCACGAAGAGTCTTGTATGATTGGGCAACCTTTTTCTGAAATTCAAGCTTCTCATATCTCTCTTCTCCATAACCTCCACGTTCAGCAGCATTCTAAGAATTTCAAAGCAAGTTTAATATACAGCAGGCATACTTGATGTAGAAAGTTAGAAAAAAAAAATTAATAAATTCTACAATTGTGTCATTCATATCACACAAGACTACATAATTGGCACACAAGATGTTCAAATGGATAGAGATCAAAAGAGTAAGAAATGAATGTACAATACGACTGATATAATCAATAATGGTGCAAGGGTTCTAAAATACGAGTCTTCTCTACTATGTTACATCTGCAAAAGCATGTAAATAAAATGAGACTTATTAGTCACATGCCATGAACGTATGTAAATACACCATGCAAATTCACCCTACATAGATAGTTTGAAACTACGAAGAATAACCCAGTAACCTGAACAAATATTTTCACTGAAACATATAAGATGCCAATATGCAGATTCGAGATTAAGAGGAAATTCAATGTTATACAATGCAAATAAAGAGTGCATCCAAAATTACTTACTTCGGGTGATATGTCAAGATATAATACCAGATCAGGAGCTAATAAACCTATCTCCGGAGCCTGCACAAAAGGCCTCACAATTTAACTAGCTTCAAGAATTATTATTTAAAACTCAGCAGAAGTTATATTATGAATATCACTGATGACATCTGCACCTTACACCACTCCATATTGAGCCCTTTGGCAGACGAGAAAGCAACACCAGAATAAGAGTAACGATCAATGATAAGAGTGGTTCCACTCTTCAGCTTAGACTCCATCAATGATCTACATCAACAAGATCAGCAATCAGGTATCAATCTTTCAACTTTAATGTGACTTCAAGAAAGCACTATTTTGAATAACTGTGTTGTGGCTGGTACAGAATGTGCGTGTATGAAAAGTCACGAATGTTGTCCAAACCGAGAAGCAAGCAAACTCAGCTCAAAACTAACCTCTTCTCCCAACGATTTGCACTGAAGAGAAGATGGATTGTGTGATCATCCAGATGTGATTTATTGGCAAGATAAGAAGAAATCATTTGCCCAACATTCGTAGTTCTATCAGGAAATCTCCATGATTCGACTGTATGTCCTAACTCTTCCAAGTATGAAAGTAGTCTGCTTGATTGAGTGGTCTTCCCACACCGATCAAGCCCTTCTAAAACAATTAAAGCGCCTCTTGAATCACTACTGAGATTATTTTCCATGTGAATTTTTCTTGATGAGAACTTGAATGGAAATTTCAACTTGTAGGTAAAACTTATTGATAATCTCCCTGCTGCTGTTGCAAAATTTCTACGAAGAACAGCAAGTTACAAACAACACACACTAACTTACAAATGAATTTCAACAATTTGTCATATTTCTCAACAAAATACACAATCCTATTACATGTGAAAGCTATCGCATCATTCAGTTTAATCCCAAATAGATTATATTAGAAACCTTGCTGTCGAAACACACATCCAACACATTAAAGGCATTTCATCAAACACCTTATAACTTCTCGGGTTTACAACTGAAAGTTTTCATTTTTCTCAAAAGATTATAATACTTTATTCGATGATCAATTGGAACGACACATTAATATAATTAACCAAACAATATAAGATTTGTGCATAATAAAATCTTACAATGCCTTAGAAACGGAGAAACAGCAAGCATGTGTCATTTCCTATGCTCCAAAATAGATTTGACAGAGAATAATACTACAAATGTTGGCAGATCCATTCAGACAAAACCAGAAAATTATGCAGTAAAAGATAGTTCTGATGCATGAATTAAACCAGAAAATTGAGAATTTGATTTGCTAAGTAATAAAAAGAAAATGACTAACTGTTCAAGGCTTTGGAATTTTGCGCTTGATCTGTTAATTGGAACTGAATCCCCTTTCTAAAGAAAAATTTCAAGGAATTTTGAAACAAAACTACAAGGCCCGGCCTTTCCAAGATGCACAACAGAAGAAAATTTCAAAATATAAATTAGAAGGAAAAAAGTTCCACTTTATGTGTGCGCGGGAAAAATAAAATCAGCACATGAAAGAGATAATTCCATCTTCGGCCCCAAATATTTTTCAAGCGGAGCACTGTTTGACGTGATTTTTGTTTTTTCTTGAAATTCAATTTTTAAAATAACTTCATATTAATAAAATGCTTTTAGATCAGGTCAAGTAATATCTTTCTTTAAGAACTCTTCTAATTAGAAGAAATACTTTTATAAAATTAAGTCAAACGAATTCAAAAGCAGCTTTTGAATTTCCAAATTTTTTTTGACTTTTCAAAAATCATATCCAACGAAACCTCAATTATGTAGTAGTAATATTTGGCGAAATTCGAGATATGGTAAACCGACACCAGTTGATCTAAAAATCAAATGCACTTTCACCGCGATGGATAGAAATTAGCTATGATTTATAGTCTCTATTTTTTGTTTCTTTCCTTTTTCCTTCATTTTTTTTTTATTTTTTCTTTCACGGAGATCAATTTGAGGGTCTCAATAATTAAGCCCCCGTTTGGCCCCCACTTTAGAGAAATGAAAATTGGTAGAATAGTATTTTTTTTGAAAAAGAATGGTTGAAAAAGATGAAAAAAATTTCGATTTACGTGTAATATTATTTTATGGAAGATTGTGTAGTTGAAAATATGAAAGAAAAAATGAAATGTAATGTAATGAAAATTAATGGGGACAAACAGTGGCTAAATTTTAATATATATTTCATAGTCACTAAACTATGCCAAGTGTTACTACTTAATAATTGAACTTAAAAATATTTTTCAATGATCGCTCAACTTTGTCAAATGTTTTTACTTCATAACTAAACTTAAAAATGTATTCTAATGATCACTGAACGATGCATCATGTTACTCATTTTAAGGTGCATAGTTCGGTGATCATTAGGATATATTTTTAAGTTTCGTTATGAATTTGTAACACTTCGTGAAATTTAGTGAATATTGAAATACATTTTTAAGTTCAATTATTAAGCAGTAACACTTGACAAAATTCAGTAGCCATTCACGTAATTAACCCAAAGTTTGTTTACGTGGAACAATGTCCCAGAAATCAGGATGAACTACCCAGGTCACGGAACAGGTGATTTTCAAAATATTTGTTATTAATGAAAATTAAATTATTATTTATAAATGGAGATGTGATATTTTTCAAAATAAAATTATAAGATGGAGGTTAATTTTAAGATATTTATTTTAACGAGAAGAATGAATTTTTAAAAAAATTGCAAAATGAAGTATATTTTAGTTTGAGGAAATACCTATAGGTAGCCTAAATACATGACCAATTTAGAAGATTAGACCAAGAAATATAATCATTTGAAAAATAGCCTTTGAACAATATTTTTTCCAAAAATACCCCTTATAGAGAATTTGCAACTAAAACCACTACAATGTATAAAAACCTTCAATTAGGTCCTCAGAGAAATATAGATCATAAATCTTTAATAAATTTAAGCCCAAATATTATACAAAATTTTATTGAACTAAGAAATGCAACAAATAGTGAATTAAATTATTCAAAAGAAGATCTAAAAAGTTTCTTTATCGAATATTTAAATCCAAAATTAAAACATAAAATTTTTTATATAAATAAATGAGCAATCAAAATCAAAAATGACATACATAAAATAATCATTAACCTGGAAAGAAGAATTTAAAAATTAAATATAATTATTAAAGAAAAAGTCTTAACAAAAGATAGTGAATTTTATAAATTTTATTGTGATATTCTAAAAACTTATGAAGATTTTAATTGGCTCGAAAATCTTAACCCCTCCGCTGCACACTCCAAAGAAATGGTATCGGAGCCATATTACGAATCTAAAATTATGATGAATATTGTAGATGAAGAAAATATAATTGAAGAATTTTGAAAAAAGTAGAAAAAATAAAAAATCTAGTTATCCCTATTTACCTAAAAACACTACAAGTGAAAGTTTTGAGAATATACATAAAAAATTAGAAAATTTAGAACATAATCTACAAATAGGAAATGCTCTATTAGATAAAAATCTTAAAGGAAAAGATAGAATTATAATTAATCCACCTCAAAATTTTAGAATAACTCAAAAAGAAAATAATAAAGGGAAAAAACATGAAGAAAATCAATATATAATTACAGATGTATAAGATTTAGAACAAAAATTTTTAGAATCTACTGGTGAAGAATATGATGAATATAAAAAACAGTTAGAAGAATTAACTGAAAAAATGGAAAATACGAAGATGAATACTAATCCATCATCAAGTCGAAATATAAAAATAGAATTTAGCAGTTATGAAGAATATGATTATCCTTAGGATGCTACAATACCACTTAAGGATGATATTAATCAATATAGAAAAATATAGAAAAGATATACTGAAAATATGAGAAAATAATCTATAAAAGAAATAAATCCAGTGAAATCTTACGATGAACTAATCCACACAACAGGAGTATGGTTAGACCTAGATTGTGTAGATAAAAATAAAGCTATTGAAACTTGGATAAAAAGTACAGACTTAGCAATACAATTCAATAAATGGGAAACATACAACTTTTGAATTTATAGAACATACATTCAGATGAATCGTTTCTGAATGGTGGAGAAAGTTACCAGAATCTATAAAAGGATGAATAAAATATGGAGATAACAGAACTGAATTATTAGATAATAGGAATACTTTAAATGATCAAAATATACATGAGCTATTAAAAAGATTTGAAAAAATCTTAAGAATATAATTCTTAGGAGATAAATATGCTTCTAATGAAGAAGAAAGAAAACAAGATGAATATAATGAAGGAATGATTGCAATGAAAAATTTAAAGATATGTGATATGTGTGAATTAGAAAGATACACATTTAAATTTGAAGAATTATACTATATATTAAACCAAGGAGATTATCAAGAAAATAAATTTATATTAAGATCTTATTTTACTAAGTTACCATTTCCATGGGGAATTAAGTTATTAAAAGAATATGAAAAATTATTACCTCTAGGAGAAGAGGTAGGAGTAAAAATAGATAGTTTTGAAAGTAAAATTGAATTTACAAAAAGAATGATAGGCATATGGTGTAGAGAAGCTCTTGAAAGTAAGAAAGCATATAAAATAAGAAAGAATTCCTTATGCTGTTACAAAGATATATGCCAAGTTGAATAATTTGGATGCTATAAGAAGAAATATAAATCATATAATAAATATAAAAGAAAATTCAAAAACTACAAAAAAATTAAGAAGAGGAATTTTAAACCACACAAAAAATATTTCAAGAAAAGAAATTGAAATAAAAAGCCTAAACCAAGAAATATTAAAAAATGTAGATGTTTTATCTGTAATGAAGAAGGACATATTGCCCCCTCAATGCCCTAAAAAGAAAGATAGACAGGATATAAAAATTCTTAAAATTTATGAAAAATTTCAAGATGATAATGATATAGAACTAACTGAAGATTTTGAAGATCTAAGTAGTGAATGCAGTAGCATTTATGAATTAAATCCATCCTCGTCAGAGGAAGATTATGAGGAGATAGTATATATGAATCAGGAGATACAACAATCAGAAATAGAAATAGAAATAACTGAAGAAGTTGAAGACTCTATAGAATTTATAAATCAAGAAATTACCTTTGATATTAAAAAATATACAGGAATCATCAATAAAATATTAGACCTATAAGAAAAAGATGTATTCCATCAAGAATTCTTAAGAATATTACCAAGAGTAAATAAAACAATTGTAAGTGTGAATTATAAAGAAATGTCTATAAATATAGAATATACTATAGGAAAAGCAAGGATTCATATAATTACAAAAGAATGGATAAAACAAAAATTATTCAAAATTCCAGAGAATGTAAGAAATAAATTTAAACGTATTGAAATAGGAGGAGTCCAGATAATGGTAAAAGGATTCTACAGAGAAGTATGAATATACCAATTGAAATCTATTGCATGGACAACGAAATCTTACAAGATCCTATTGATGCTCTATTAGGAACTGTAGTGGGAAATTTAGTCTATTAGAAGATAATATTTACAGTAAAACCAAATTATGCAATATCATTAAATAACGAAAATATTGACCAAAGTTTCAATCTATATTATAGAATTGAAAACTTGAAAATGTTACGAAGAAATAAGGCTATTAGTATAAGCATAAAATCAATTTTTGCTTTTAGTATTAGCCATCATAACAATCTAAGGAAGATAACTGATAACATTATCATACATAAATATTTTGAGGAATTAGCACAATATATACCTCCTAGGAAATACCAAGAACATGAAGTCACTATACCAGAACAAATAATACTTGATTTTCACAAACAAGTTAGAAAAGTTAATTCTGAAGGAAAACTAATAAGAAGAAATAGTGTCAACTTAAAAGGAGATAATCTTATTGCAAGATTCCCCTCTAGACAAAACTTTAAGATAAACAAACTTAAAAATTTTAGTATTGCTGAACCATCAAGTTCACAATATTACATCAAAACAAGATATGTAAATTAAGAAGGATATAAGAAGAATCTTCTTGTCCTCATAGATACTAGAGCAGATAAAAGTTATGTAAATGCTAAATTTGTTAGTCATTTAATAAACTTTGAAATACCAGAATCATATATATATATTTAAGGATTATCTAGGAAATAATCTTGAAATAAAAAAATATGTAAAGTTCCCTCTTATACTTATAGGAGAGGATTAGAAAGAATATATTAAAGAAATAATTCTATATAAAGATGAATTATATGGAGTTGATCGTTCACCTATTCTATTAGAAATGAACTTTCTTGAAAAATATAGTTCTTATAAAATCTGCCAAAAATATTTAAAAATAACAGTTGATGATAATTCAATCATCATATCAAGAATAGATGAAAATATGAAATCATTATTATCATAGAAAGAGTAATAAGTACTAATCCTATGAGTCTATATATTGAAATTACACTCAATATAAAAGGTTATTGTAGAATTAAATTTCATACTTACTTAGATACATGAAGTACAATAAGCTTATGTTTACCAAATGTACTACCATCTGAATACTGAAAATACAATTCAAATAAGATTGTCACCGCTACAACAACATGCGGAA